TGTCTCCGACTTTGATAATATCTTCATCCAAACGGTGCCTTTCTGATATGTTCTCCTTCCTCTGTGACATAACGAGGTGGTGGGAAGGTACTGCTGTAATATGCACTAAAATCTCAGCACACTGGTCATCAGCGTCCCCGTGAGTCGGATGCACGGAACTACATAAACTATTATACACAGACATTCCTTTTTGGCTTATGTTTCATGCGATTGATTACTATATTTGGTTAGATATGTGACTAGAAAGAAATAACTTGGTCCATAAGACAGTGAAATGTCTTATTTGTGTTGCAGGAGAAAAATTAGGCTAGTTTGATATCCTGCTTTATATCCAGACAGAAACGAGAGCAAGCCAGCTATTGAAACAGATCAAAACAGGACGAGACATAATAAAGCAAAACACCAACAAAGTGCGCTGAATTTTGCTTTCTGCGGTACTTACTGGCACAAAACGGAGAGACACACAAAAAAGCATGTTTAACATTTAAAACTTAAACCCACATGAGCAATTATTAGTTTCAAACATTATTGTTTTCAAGTGTTCATTTTAAAGTCCATAGCAAAAATTATGTAAATATTAAGTGATTCACATTTATTATTGTGATTCACACAAAGTATCAACGGGAAAAAAGAATACACAAAATCTTTAGACTGTTATAATGCAAAAAGTGCAACAAAGATTTGACTATAAAATGCAGGACTAAGTGCAGCAGGTTTCAAATCATTGCATTGCAATACATTCCATGTACATTCGAATGCAATACTAATCTACCCCATAACGAATTAAGCAGCACTTCAAATGGGACAGTTAACTTTAAATTAAAGGAGCTGTCAATGACTTATGTTTCTGAAAATATCTGATGAATTACCATGACGCAATTGAATCCATTAAAAGACACAGACACAGGTTATGGTCAGTATTTCAGGACCTCACCTCTAGAGGAGAGTCTGGTTCATCCAGGATGCTCTTTTCACTCTGTATCCGCTGCATCGTTCCTGTAGAACTGGGGTCCATTATCAGCACGTTCTGACTACCAGCTCTGCCGAACTTACAGTCACTCTTTCTGGAGTCAGTCGTCCTGCACACCTCGTAATTGTACATATGTGGAAGAGTCCCTGTCCCCAAAGTGTCTGAGTAACGTGGTGGATAATATGGAATGACAGGCAGGTTGGAGTGATACAGGATGCGAGACTGTCTCCACCTGTAGATTTTGACTGATATAATAACCACTAAACACGTGATGAAGAGGAAGGAAACTACAGCCAGAGCCAAGACTAAGTAAAAAGTCAGGTTGTCATTGTACTCCTTGTCGTGTGTCAACTCAGCGAACTCCGACAGCACTTCAGGGAAGCTGTCCGCCACCGCCACGTTAACAACGACCGTAGCAGAACGAGAGGGCTGCCCGTTGTCCTCCACTATAACAGTCAGTCTTTGTTTGACAGCATCTTTATCAGTGACTTGGCGGATAGTTCTGATTTCTCCATTCTGTAAGCCCACTTCAAACAGCGCCCTGTCTGTGGCTTTCTGCAATTTATAGGAGAGCCAAGCATTCTGTCCAGAATCCACATCAACAGCCACCACTTTCGTCACCAGATAGCCCACATCTGCTGAACGAGGCACCATTTCAGCCACCAGAGAGCCACCAGACTGGACTGGGTACAGAACCTGAGGATGGTTGTCGTTCTGGTCCTGGATAAATATTATTACAGACGCATTGCTGCTGAGTGGAGGAGAGCCTCCATCCTGCGCTTTGACTTTGAAATTAAGTTGTTTAATTTGTTCATAATCAAACGAGCGTACTGCGTGTATCACTCCAGTTTCAGAATTTATTGACACAAAAGAAGAAACTGAGCTTCCACTGACTTCGGCATCGTCTATAAAATATGAGATTCTCGCGTTTTGATTCCAATCATGATCTCGTGCGCTGACTGTGAATATTGACCCCCCCGGGACATTATTTTCAACGACATAGGCCGAGTATTTAGGTTTGGTAAAGAGCGGCGCATTATCATTCACATCAGAAATTTTTAGATGCAAATTTGTTTGTGTAGAAAGGGGGGGTGACCCTGAATCGGTTGCAGTTATTGTTATATTGTATTCAGGTTTTGTTTCTCGATCAAAAGCTACATCTGAGAGCAAATTGTAATAATCGGTCAAAGAAGACTGGATTTTAAATGGGAGATTAGAATCTATTGAGCACGTTATATGACCATTTCTTTCTGAGTCTGCATCTTTAACATTAAAAACAGCTATAGTTGTACCCGGAGAAACATCCTCTGAAATGATGCTCGAAAATGACATTATACTTATAAGAGGCGCATTATCATTTATGTCCAGGACCTCAACGACAACTTTGGTTGCATCACTCAGTCCTCCCTGGTCTTTGGCGATCACTCTTATTTCATACTTCTTGTCTTTTTCAAAATCAATGTTATCAACGACAGTAATTTTTCCGGAGGAACTATCAATTTCAAATTTTTCCGCGGATTTCCCCTTTACGTTAGAAAACGTGTAGGAAACCAAGCCATTTGAACCACTGTCTGCATCTGAAGCATTCACTGTAGTTATATAGGTGCCTATTGGCGCATTTTCTGCTACAGTAGCTTTATATAGCGATTGATTAAAAACAGGAGGATTATCGTTGACATCAAGAACAGTGATCTCTATGTTCACTGTACCAGATCGCCGTGGAGTTCCTCCGTCTACTGCAATCAGCTTTAAGGAGAGGTGTGGGTTCAACTCTCTGTCTAAAGGCTTCTGTAAAATCATTACAGCGAATCTAACTCCGTCGGCGTTAGAGAGCTGCTTTAAGACAAAATTATCATCAGGGGACAAAACATAATTTTGCAAGCTGTGAATTCCTGAATCGGGGTCATATGCGCTTTCTAAATCAAAATGAGAACCCACTGTAGCAGATTCACTAATTTCTAGTTTAATCACGTTACTTTTGAACGTCGGTGCATGGTCGTTTATGTCTAATATTTCTACTGTCACTCTGTGCAGTTCAATGGGATTTTCTAAAATAATTTCAAAGCTTAAACTGCATGGCATTACGTCTCCGCAAAGCTCTTCTCTGTCAATTCTCTCCTTCACGACTAGAATCCCTTTGTCTGCCTTCAGCTCTGTGTACTGACTGGTTTCTCCGCTCACGATCCGGGCCCGGCCAGAACGGAGCCTTCTCAGATCTAAACCGAGGTCTTGTGCTACATTACCGATAAGAGAACCTTCCTTCATCTCCTCTGGTACTGAATAACGGATTTGGCCTCTGATGGTGGAAATCATGAAGACAAAGATGAAGAGAAGCCATGTCGTCGTTTCACACATCAGCCGTTTTCGGAATGGCTGCTGCTGTATCCCCATGTTGCTACTAAAATAAATCCAAAACACGACTTGAGATCAGTCGGTCACACATAAAAAAAGCAAACTGGATCCCAGTTCAATGGCGATGCACCTTTAACTGTTAAAACGGTTGGATTGCTATTAAACAGGCAGATTCACTGCGACTCTCTCCAACGTCTCTCTGAATAAAGATTGGTTTTAGACCTCTCCTCTTTCTCTCGGCTGTCTGTAACAACACCACAACGTT